GGATATACTTTCCTGTTTAGGTTATGTTAAACAGCTGGCCTTCAGATCGGAAGATCACCTGGGTAGGCCTGACCCAATCACATGAACCCTTTAAAAGCAGAGAGTTTTTTTGGCTGGTCCCCGAAGAGAAGTCAGAGACCCGAAGCATGAGAACAATTCGTGTGTCCTTGCTGGCTTGACGCTGGAGAAGGCCTCGTGGCAAAGAATGCAAGTGGCCTCTAGGATCTGGGAGGGGCCCCTGGCTGCCAGCCAGCCAGGAAACAGAGTTCTCAGTCCTGCAATTGCAAGCAACTCAATTTTACCAACAAGAATGAGCCTAGAAGTAAATTTTTCTCCAGAGTCCCAAAGTGAGAACTCAGCCTGGCTTACAGTTTGATTTCAACCTGGTGAATCTCAGAGTAGAGAACCCAGGATGCCCAGACCACTAACCTACAAGAACCGTGAGCTACTAAGCGGATGGTGTGTTATGCCACTGAGTCGGTGGTAATTTGTTGCGCAGTAGCAGAAAACATACAGTCCCACAGGCTTCTTACTTCATGGGGAAGCTTGCAGCCAGCAGCCAGTAGAGGGCCACAGTGGGGTTTCTAAAGCATGGGGTCCAGGGAAGTGGTCCCCATTGCGTAGGTCAAGGCTGGTATGGCACCCATAAATTCCTAAAGATGAATTCTGCCCATGCCCACCACTTCATGTTATTCCCCGGGTACTGAAGTGTTGCATGGTTCTCATGTTTGAAGAGCTTGGGCTTGGGCCTCATGCCTATCTCCTAGCTGCAAGAGAGCCAGGGAAATTAAGCTGTGATATATAATCTAGAAGTGGAGCCTATAACATGGGAATTCCCCCATAATTACACCATTCAAATCATGATTACCTACCGAGACCTTGGAATAGGTATTTGTTTTTTAGCTGTCTCTCCCCACCCCACCCCTACCCTCCACTTTCTTTTCCTATTTCTTCTGGCAACAGAATTTTTTTTTTCTTAAGGAAAAGCCATTGAATGTGGTTTAGGTCAGGGTCATTCAGCTCTGTTATCCTCTCTCTACTTCCTGACACAAGAGTCAGCACATGACCCAGGGCTGGTCAATCAGGTGACACCATGCCCCTAGTCACAGTGATTGGTTGAGGGAGGAATATGTAACTCATACTCAATCAATCAGAATCTTTCCTGGGATTTTCTTGGCAGAACTATCAGGAAACATTTGTTTGTTCCTCTGAGGTTGCTATAAGGGGAGGCTGTAAGGGTATGAGTGTGCCATCTTCCTACACAAGAAGCTTGTTCAAGAAGAAAACGGAACAGTCTGAGATGTGGGGAGAGAGAATAAGCCTTGATAACACACTTTGAACTTTTACGACCACCCATGTCAGAAGACGGCTCCATCTCTTCCGCTGCCCGGTTACGTAACAGTAAACCCCCTGTGTGGCTTGCTGGCTGACTTGAGTTAGGTTTCTGTCACACATCCAAACAATATGACTGGCACAGACCTACTCCGCATCCTGTCCACACACTGCTGCAACCCTGGGCGCCCAGCCACTTGACCCTGCCTGCAGCTGCCGCCTGCCTTTGACTCTAGGCCTGAACTTGGTTGTGAGGGACTATGGGATGCTGATCAGCCTCTTGTCTTGCTTCCCGTATGGCCAGCCTCCATCTCGGACCCTAGTCTCAATAACCGATGCACCATCTTACTTCGTTATCCTGGCCCTTTGCCTTTTCAGCCCCCGTATGGACAGCCTGTGTGCCCAGAACCCCAGAGCCAGAGTCCAACACCTGCTGCTGCACATCCTGAATTCTACCTCCGCCTGTCTGGACTTCCATCCATGGTCCTCACCAGTCCTACTGGATGCACACAACATCCCCCAGCCCCTGTGTACCCCGAGCCTACCCATTTCACAGATGGCCGCCTTGCGGTTCTGTCAACTTGCAGCCTCACAGTACAACCAAAGGCAGCATCTCCCAGGCTGTGTGCTGTGCGACCCCACTCCGTGCGCCGTGAATCGCCCCTGAGCACAGAGGGGGAAAGCGAGGCCGGCAGCATTTTCTCTTCAACCTAAACACTGGAGAAGCATGGTACGCGGGGTCCTCTTCCACGGTCGGGACTGAAGGCACAAGCTGTCTCTGCTGAGCTCTCACACTGTGCACACAGCGTGGCCAACGGACCTCCCACCTCGCGCGGAGGCCGTGACAGCTGGAGTCCCCAGCTCTGGAGCAAGCTGTTTCTCCAGTTCTGCCGAAAGTGAGAAGAAAGGCAAATAGGAAGTAGTTGGCTCATTTTAGGGGGGACACGTTGAGTGGAAAACACATATTTAGATTCACGGGTCAGGGCGGCACAATGCTCACTCCATGAGAGCATGCGGGAGCAGAGACTGCCCGAGGGAACCCCGACTCAGGCATCCCATCGCTCACTTCTCGGGGCCCCAGTCACTGAACTGTTTTCGCTGAGTTCTCTCCCCATTCCCCCGGGGAACGTGCATAACTGAATTTAAGGGACTTAAATGCGTGTAAAGTAAGATCCACCCTATGAAAGAAAAGTATTTATCACTGTAAGGTGTTCTCATAATAATCTGTTCTTATGTGTACAATGATCTGTTTTTAAGAAATTGTATACTGGACCCAAGACTACCAGGAACTCACATGGAATTGTGACATATGACCTATGTCTTGATTCGTAAGGGAGCATTACTAACTGCTTATCATCAGTCCTGTGACATCTTGTCTAAGTAACGTGTCTTACTTTAGAATTCTAACATATGTGTTTATTATTCAATATTTGTGGCATAGTAAACCTATGAATAAAATAATGATAATCCTAATAATTCATATTAATAAGAAGAATGAGCACATAGTAAGGGCTTGCCATATGCCAGGTATTTTTCCAGCAGCTTTGCATGTATTAACTCATTTAATTCTCACAACCACCAGCACCCCCATTTTACAGATAAGAAAACTCAAAGAGGTGAGGGATTTTTGAATCCATGTTTTCAGATCTCAAATCCCAAGCATGGGTGTGGTTACTCCAACAGTCCAAGGAGAGGATGTACTGCATGCGAAAGTACCTATTATATTCAAAAAGATTCTTTTTAAAAAATAGCTACCGCCCTGGCCGGTTTGGCTCAGCGGTTAGAGCGTCCACCTGCGGTCCGGAGAGGCCCGGGTTCGGTTCCCGCTAAGGGCATGTACCTCGGTTGCAGTTTGTCCCCGGCCCTGGTTGGTCGTGCGGGTGGCAACCACTCGATGTGTCCCTTTCACATCGATGTTTCTCTCTCTCTCTCTTCCTCTCTCTTCCTCCCACTCTGTCTGTACAAAAAATGGAAAAATGTCCTCGGATGAGGATTAAAAAAAAAAAATAGCTACCATTTGTGGAGCTCCTACCCTATGCCGGGCATTGATAAGGGCGTGCATGCCCTTTCTGTTTAATTATCACAACTCTGTGAACAGAAGCAGAAACGAGGCTCGGAGAGGTTAAGTGACTCTGACCCTTAGCTAGGAAACAACACTGTCTCCCTGTATAGACACAAGTCGTCGTCGTCATTGTCATCATCATCATCACCACAAAGAGCAAGGGGGCATTACCCATTAGGAAAACGTGAACCCAAACCACAAGGAAACACTACTTTACATCTCACTAGCACGGCTACAATCCGAAAGACAGACGACAGCAAGTGTTGGCGAGGGTGTGGAGAAACTGGAGCGCACATTGCTGGTAGGAGTGAGAAATGGTGCCACTGCTGTGAAAAACAGTTGGGTGGTTTGGCAAAAAGCTGAACGTAGAGTTACCAAATGACCCACCAACCTCACTCATAGTTACGCACCACAGAAAACTGAACACGCATTCACGCAAAAACCTGTCCATGAAACTTCGTAGCAGCATTATTCATAATAGCCCCGAACTGGAACAACCCAAACGTCCACCAAAAAGCGCTTTATCCATACAATGGAATATTCCTTGGCCATAAAAAGGACTGAAGTACTGATATATGTTCCAACATGGACGAACCTTGAAAACATGCTGCTGTGTGGAAGAAGCCAGTCACAGAGGACCACAGACTGTATGACTCCATTCATCTGAAGTGTCCAGAACAGGCAAGTTCACAGAGACAGAAAACAGATCAGTGGGCGCCTGCGGCTTCAGGGAACAGGAGGATTGGGAATGATAACTAAGGGATATGGGAATTCTTTTCGAGGTGATGAAAACATTCTAAAATTGTGGTGACGATTGCACAACTCTGTGAATATCATTAGAACCACTAAACTGTACACTTTAAATGGGTGAATTGTATATTATGCAAATTATAGTTCAATAAGCTATTAAAAAAAATAATCAAGGGGAGCCTTCCTGACACTGGAGAGGACCTGAAGTTACATTTACACCTGGCCGGTGTGGCTCCGTGGATGGAGCGTCGTCCCCTGGACTGAGAGGTCCTGGTTCGATTCCCAGTCAGGGCACATGACCTGGTTGTGGGCTCGATCCCCAATAGGGGGCGTGCAGGAGGCAGCTGATTGATGTTTCTCTCTCACATATGTTTCACTCTCTCTCTCCCTTCCCCTTTCTCTAAAAAATCAATAAAAACAGATTTAAAAATAAATAAATAAGTAAGTAAAAGTAAAGCTACATTTACAAGTCTGGTCCTATTCCTCCCCTCCCCAAGCGACGATGACTCAGATAGTTGCCAGCATTATCACTAGGTGTGCCCCGATTCCTTGCCTCCTCCCTGGGAATCTAGGGTGTTGCCCTGTGTTTGCCCACCTTTCTCGGGGAATGCCCTCCCCACTTCGCCCCGGCAGGCCTGGGGTCAAACCCGGAGTGTCAGCCTGGCCCCCCAAAGCTTCCTTCTGCAGCAGACGGGCACTGCTGCCTCGCCAGCCTCCCTCCCTCCTTGCTGGGAGCCGCACGCCTCAGATTCTAAGAGCCCGTGGAACTCAGCACGTGCACCAGGAACTGCACCCTGGGGTTTTCTGTGCCAGCAACCACCGCAGAGATCTGCGGTCGTCCCCACACCCCACTTACCTAACGTAGGAAAAGACGATCATGTGGCAGACCCACTTCAGGGTGCCATAGTTCACGCTCTGGATCCGGGCGACTTTGCTGGTCTCGTACTGGAACGCGTCGGTGCAGCAGGACAGCATGGTGAGAGGCTCGCCCCCGGCTCGGGTCTGGACCAGGCTCAACCCTCGGACTGGCCACAGCAGGCCCACCAGTGAGAGGAAATGGAACGGGCTTGATTTTTAAGTTTGAGCTGCTCCGACGATGGCAACGTGGGGGCGGACCCTGGCAGCGGCCCAGCCGGGCTGGAAATAAACAAGGGAAGCCAAGTGCTAGGCCTGCCTGGCAGAGGACCCCGCCCAGCTGGCCTCCCCCATGCCTGCACAATGTCGGTGTTCAGAGGAAGGGCATTTTTAGAATTCCGCCTTTCCCCTTTTTCTTTCACTTTTTGACTCATTTCATTCGGGGGGAAAGGGGCAGCCCTTCAAATGTCAGGAGACCCAATGCATCCATTGTGCCTTAGTAAAGGGCCTAGATCGTTCCATTGCCTCAAGCGCCACTCAGAGACTGATCCATTTTCTACAACCTTTATTCAGCCCCAGAAATGTATGCTGTATGAACACTGAACACTGGGTGAATGAAAGTCCCTGTCCCCCGCCACACACACACTTCCTGTCTGTAGATGCTGCGGTGCGGCTTTTGCTGGCAGGGGAGGGGGGAGGTGGGGCTTTATTGCTATGCTGGATATTTCCTGTGTGACCTCCAGATCAGCGGTTCTCAACCTGTGGGTCGCTACCCCTTTGGGGGTTGAACGACCCTTTCACGGGGGTCACCTAAGACCATCGGAAAACATATTTCCGATGGTCTTAGGAACCAAGACACCACTCATCTATCCGTCTCCAGGTGGGTCCGCCCACATGCAGATGCGCCCACAGACAGCATGAGGAACTGTATTAACTCGTGGGGCACTAGGAAGGTTGAGAACTGTAAGGAATGGGGGGGGGGGGCGCCGCCGAATAGAACAGAGAAGGGACTGGAGAGCCAATCAGCCGAATAAACGGGGATCAGGCTTTATTGGGTGCACTCCAGGCGGGTTCACAGACTCCGGGGGTCGAGTCCTAGAAGCCACGCTCAATGTAGGGGCTTGTGTCTTTTATATCTGCCTGTTGCAGCTGGAATTTGTTCCTCAGGGTTTGGCCCTGCGGGGGGCTATGCATGGAGCCTCTGGAATGTGAATCGATAAGAGCAAGATGGGAGTTAATCTACAAGCTCCAGGCAGGCCGGTCAGGGTGGGAGGCAAGGCTGAGCAAGCAAGACAATGGTCGAGCACTTTGCCTGGCGCCAGTCCCCAGGCCATCGGACAAGAACCACTGCCCTAGACCCTCTCTCTGTCCTGCTCTGGGCCCCAGAAGGGAGGTCCGTCTATGACCTAGGCCAGTCCGCCTAAGACTGCCGGGAACAAACTTGCCATCCAACAAAGCTGGGTTTTGACCCACTCAGTGAAGGAGAGCCTGTGCCGGAGGAACCGTGGGGCACCCCAGACAAAGGGACCGAGTTTGTTGTAGACCAACGAGACAGACCAGACTCAGACTCCGAACTGGGTTCAAATTAAGAGAGCTTTATTAGCCGCGCGGCGACGGTCCCATCCTACGCAGAGGCGAGAGCAGCCCCGAGCTCAAGGGGAGGGCTGCTCATACAGTTGTCTTAGCCCCTGTTGAGGAATTTGGGTTAAGGGTATGCCAGCAAGCACGGACAGAAGCAGATACTTGCGGTTAGCTGTTACGCCTGAGGGAGCAGGCAGTTTCGTGTGCACAAAGCAATGGTTATCTATGCAATGCAGTGGTTATCTATGAGCAGCTGGTTCTTGCCATTCCCTGAAAATCCAGGGGGTAAGGTCATGTGTTCGTCCTTTACAAGTTCTCACAGGGCTCTGGGGGATAGTGGAGTTCAGAATCCATTTAAATGAAAGCAGATTTTGGCAAGCTCAAAGCAAAGCAGGTTTTGTATAAAACGGTCACCTTCAGGTCTGGATTTTATTTTTATTTATTTATTTTTTAGAATATTTTTCTTTTTATTGATTTTGGAGAGAGAGGAAGGGAGAGGGAAAGAAAGACAGAAACATCGATGAGAGAGAACATCGATCGGCCCCCTCCTGCACGCCCCCCACTGGGGATCGGCCCACTACCTGGGCACGTGCCCTGACCGGGAATCAAACCACACATCTCTTGGTGTAGGGGTCGAGGCTCAACCCGTGAGCCACACCGGCCGGGCTCAGATCTGGATTTTATTTTTTATTTTATTTTATTTTATCCTCACCCGAGGATATTTTTTTTCCATTTTTTGTACAGATAGAGTGAGAGGGAGAGAGAGGAAGAGAGAGAGAGAGAGAGAAACATCGACGCGAAAGGGACACATTGAGTGGCTGCCACCCGCACGACCAACCAGGGCCGGGGACAAACTGCAACCGAGGTACATGCCCTTAGCGGGAACCGAACCCGGGCCTCTCGGGACCGCAGGCCGATGCTCTAACCGCTGAGCCAAACTGGCCAGGGCTCAGATCTGGATTTTAAAGTGGACCCAGGGCCTGTTTCCTTGGAAACGATAAAGCTGAGATGTGGAATGTTCCAGGAATCTTCAGCCGCCTCGATCTGAGTGCACACTGAGGCCCTTCCCTGCCGCCCGGGGACTGCGGTCCTCTCGGCCGGAGGGCAGTGTGTCATCCTTACCGGTGCAGTTTCCAGCAGTGGCGTTTCTGACGGCCTGTGACTCTAGAGGACGGTGCTTCTCAGTGGGGGAGAAATGTGTCCACTGGGGCATCACCGCTTCACAGCGGCAGAGAAATATTATTTCCTCTTGTTTTTGCGGCCGCCTTGAACTGTTCTGCGCTTTCTGCTCGCCCAGTGGCCAGGCCCCCCACTTTCCAGGCTGAGCCCCGTGTCCCCTCTCACCCGTGCGAGCTGCGTCAGGGCCTCCCGGAGCTCGGTGGCCGTGGATGCTCCTGGTTCCTCTCCGCCCCGAGGTGCCCTCCCTCCTTGCCCTTCAGGGCGACCACTAACCGCACGTGGCTACTTATTTTAAATGAAACGAAATTTAAAATTCAGTTCTGCAGTCACACTTGCCCTATTTTTTTTTTATCCTCACCCAAGGACATTTTTTGATATTTTGTTCAGATAGAGTGGGAGGGAGAGAGAGAGAGAGAGAGAAACATCGACGTGAAAGGGACACATCGAGTGGCTGCCACCCGCACAACCCAACCAGGACCGGGGACAAACTGCAACCGAGGTACATGCCCTTAGCGAGAACCGAACCCTGGTCTCTCTGGACCACAGGCCGATGCTCTTACCACTGAACCAAACTAGCCAGGGCACACTTGCCCTATTTCCAAAGCTCAGTGCCCACGTGTGGCTGACGGCTAGCACCCTGGACAGGGAAGGCGGGAGAGGAGACCATCCGTGCCAGCGCAGACGGTCCATCAGACGGCGCTGCTGATAGGAGGCCCGTGCAGCGGGGGAATGGGGGGCGGGTTCGGTCGATGGTAGATGGCATTTTCCGTGTGCAATCGGAGGCCGGCATGCAGGATGACAGAGAAGGGGGCAGGAGGTTCGATGAGAGTGAAGAAGAGTCAAAGCAGTTGCTATGGCGATCAGGAGCCGAGCACCAGCAGGGAAAACAGGAATTCCAGGGTGTGTTGAGGATGAAAGCCCATGGAGTTGTTCATTGCCACAGTCTCGGTGACTGAGACTGTGACGGGGCCGGGGCCTTCCTACCTGCAGAATCCACCTTCCCCTCCATACCAGATCTCGCCAAGTGGTTCAGATGGCCTGAGAATTTGTAATCATTGGTATTTACTGTGTTTATTGTGGTCTTCTATATTCGTTCCTGACACTGTGAGCAAAGCCACGTCTCTGTTTCTTCTTCCCAATAAAGCACCCTTCCCAGGGCCACGCATCCCTTGCGGGCCCCAAAACTAAGGACAGGAAGCCCCTCGATGTCCCCTACCTCAGCCCAGGCCCTAGGAATGACTTAGTTCACTCCTTTTATTCTGGGAATTGCTCTGTGCTTGTGGATGCTGGGTTTCTTTTCATCCCAAGATCTCACCTCCATTCCACTCCATCCGAGCCAGAACATGCTCTCCCGGGGAACCTTAAAATCTCTCTTGGAGTCCGGAGAGCCGTCCACTTCGGGTCATAACCAAGGTCCCCCGCAATCCTGCACACAGGGGCTGGGAGTGGAGGATACGTGCCCCCGGGGACGTTGGCAATGTCATTTTTCGTCGTTATGACTGAATGGTACTTAATGGCCAGGGATTCTGCTACATATCCTAAAATACACAGACCAACCCCCCACCACAAAGAATTGTCTGGTTCAAAATGTCAGTAGTGGCACCTATGCTGTAAACTCAGTTGTAAACTGTGAAATCAAGGGCCACAGTGCAAGGCACATAGTAGGTATTCCATAGAAGTTTGATAAGCACATGAATGCACGAGAGAATGAATGAATGATCAAATGAATGACTGGCGAGGGCCTGGTACAGGACTGTGTCAGGGTGGCTGTTCAGTAAATGGTCATCGACTCGTTCCTGCATGTGTTCCCCCGCAAAGGGCCACCTGTGCACAGCTGCAAGTGGTGTCCTCCTGGCTGGGGCAGGATGCCTTGTAGCTGTGGTCTGGGGTCACGATGAATTGCTGTGGGAAGCCACAGAGTGGAGGAGCAGTGCCCTCCACGTGGTGATGGATTCGTCGCCTTCTCGCCAGCCCTTCTTCTCAGACTCTCAGCACAGAAGGGCTTAAAGGGCTGAGCAGAGTCGGAGCCTGTGGATTCAGCTCTTTCAGACTGAAAGGGAGGAAATGATGAGCTCAGAATGAGGATTATTGTTAACGTGGCTGAGGATCAAGAGCCCATTAGAATTCGAGACGGCCCAGGTTGGGTAGCTCAGTTGGTTAGAACATTGTCCCAATACACTAAGGTTGCAGGTTCAATCCCTGGTCAGGGTGCATACAAGAATCAACCAATGGATACATAAATAAGTAGAATAACAAATTGATGTTTCTCCCTCTCCCTCTCTCTCTCTAAAATCAATCAACAAATAAAATAAAATAAAATTTAAATTTATATATATATATATATATATATATATATATATATATATATATATATATATTTTATCCTCACCCGAGGACATTTTTCCATTTTTTGTTCAGGTAGAGTGGGAGGGAGAGAGAGGAACAGAGAGAGAGAGAGAAACATC